CTTGCAAGCTTGACCCTTCCGATCCGGCATAAATTCGCACGAATCTACTTATTTATACCGCAAGTGTATAGAAGATTTTTTATGTGAAATTATAGGCATGTACGTATGTTTATCGAAGCTTTTATGATACGGTACGGACGACTATAGTCGGCGCTAGAAAGGGTTAACTATAACTGAATCGGTCGCGCGCCTTTTGCGCCCGCATTCGATATCCAGCTGCGAACACGTTTTGCATATTTACGATACGCACCGAGGCAAGGACGTTCCGCAACGTGTCCAACCGAATTCGTCTGCAGGACTTTTTCGAGATCCTGACTGGAACCATCGGATCTTACAATTTCGAAGATTCATAATAGATATTATTCCTTGTATGAGACAAAGTTATTAAATCATGCTGCATATGGAATGGAAATGAACGAAATAAAAATGTAACTACTATAAAAGAGAACGAATCACTGAGTTCGCATTACCGTCGAGTAAAATGGTCCGTTTCTCTTTAGCGAATTCTCTCGAATATTCGAGCGTTGCATATCCGTTGAAATCGTCGCGAAGAAAGCTTTTCCTTCCGGCCGTATTTCTGGGACATAAAGCAATCCTGACGAAAAGGAATCGTCGAGCTCGTTCGACGGCGTAACCGTATCCTACGTGCGAATCGCATGCATCGCAACACGGATCTATAATAAACGGACGTGATCCTCGCCCGATTCGAATCCTCGGGGAGGAATCCGAGGAGGAGGACGTCGTCGTTCCGTGGAACCCGTTAAAATTTCATGACCGCCTCGCGCCCGAGAGTCGTAAAAAAAAAAATTGAATCCATCGATCTCGCGCAGCCATCGTGCCTCTCTTCCTCGTTTCCTCAGCGGCTCACGTTCGACGGTTCATCGCGACGAATCGAGAACTCAGCTCGGTCCCCGCCCTTTGAGGTGAACGTTCAAATTTTCATATCGTCTGAGATTTTTTTCAACGGATTTTATATTCGTCGCATTTACGACCGGCTATTCCTCCAAGTTTATTATTAGTCGATAGTCGTTCTTCTTGCGCAGTTCGTTTACAGTGGCGTAAAATATTTATCGCACCGCGACGCTTGCGAAAGTATGAACGAATTTTTTCAGTCACGATTTGCTCGTTCGGCCGATGGTCGAAAATCGCTTGGCCAAGGAGCGAGCAAAAGCGGGTTCTGCCGACAGGAAGTGGACGAGGCGCAGCAAGCGACCCGAGACAAAGAGCAGAGGGCCTGCGTCGCACGCAGAACCGCACCGGGAGGAGAGGTTGCACGAACCGAACGGAGCAGTTACAGCGTTCGGTGTAAGTACCAGCGCGTTACGTACTTACACACGGCTGCGAGGCTCGTTGTCGTCCAGGTACGAACAGAGCCAGTCAGTCGTAGTATTTGGGACAAGGTCAGAAGGTTCTGCGCTCCCCGGCTTCCAAGACACCGAGAGCGCTGCACGCTCTGCACTTTCACTTTGCCTCTCCGCGTGCATTGGCAAATTGCAACCTGGCGATAGGACGATACACCTCTGCCTCTTTCAACCTCGAACCGCCGCGCCGCGTATATCTGCCGTTTTTATCAATATCCTCGTTTCCGTTCTCGCACAGCCGAAATTAGAATGTATGGAAAATACGTAAAATCGCGGGAAAGAATGGAGCAGCTCGTTTGGAATTGTTATTGACAAAAATCCGGTCTAAATCGAAGAGGGAAATCGGTGTAGCTGCACGTTTAACTGGAACGTATCGTTATTCGGTGTCACGAATTTCAATATCTATAACAATAATTCAGAAAGGAGTTGCGTCATCGTCGCGGCGGCGGCGGCGGCGGCGCGAAATTCCGAAACGAGCGGTGATCCGGCGGCGCGTGAAAACACAAAAGTTTCGTCCGCGACTTGTGGAAACGGGGCCGGTTCGCGGTTATTTGTAAACGCGGCGGATAACGTAAGCGGTGGCACGCATTCACATGTAAATTGCACGCGATACAGCGTACACGCGCGCACCGCAAAGGCCGGCCAACGACACTTGAACGAAACGCGTGCTCCCGATATTCCACGTAACGCGAATTTCTTCTTTTTTTTTTTCCACGACAAAAATTCGATACCGCACGCGCGCCTCGTCGCCGACGAAATCAATTAACCGCCGGGCGAAACGAACTGGACATTCCGCCGGTTGTAAACCAGTCGTTCAAAGACGTAAAGTCGATCGTCGAAAAACAAGAATTAATCTCATCGAAAACAAGCCGCGGTACCGTTTTCATTTTATAATACAATTTCGATGAAAGAAATGGAACCGCGGTTTACGGTTATACAAACAACCGTCAGTTTTAACGACGTCCACTAGTTACTGCATCGGTTTCGTAATACGACGTAAGCGCTCGTTCATTTGCAACTTGACGGCGTCGGGTCGCTGTGGATTCCAGCAGATTTCGACGCCCCTGTCCCCGGCCACGAATTTCCCCGAACATCGGTTTTTCACGTATTTGCGTTGCTAAACGTGCTCGGTCTCGATTCACGCAAATCGAATGCGTATCGGATTCGCGAGCGACGCATAAAATCGATAAAGGCGTTACAAGCGTTCTGCGTTAAGCGATTCGTTAACCTTTATTAGTTCGCAGCTTTCTCAGAGTAAATTCTCTACTAATCTTATCGTCGCAGTCTGGAATCACGTTTCAGAACGAGGCATTTGGAGACGGGGATTGATTAGATCGATGCGTTCAAGGATCGGTTTCTGGAAAAAGGGATTAGCGTTTGAAGAGAATCGTCGCGGATAAAAAATTCAAAGTGACTCCCGATCGGAGCGAGGACACCGTCGGTAGAGAGAGGGCGGGTTCGGAGAACCGGGGGAGAAAGAGACGAAGCAGGAGAACGGAAGAGAGAGAAAGAGAGAGAAAGATAGAGAGAGAACACGGTTGCTGTCCGGCAACGGGTCGGACACAATGGGCATTGAAAACAGAAAATAAGCGGCATTGTTCGGCGCTTTTCAGAATCGATATTTGCGAATACAGCATCGACGCGTGTCGCGAGGTGCGCGCGGCTCAGTGATTTAAAGCAAAGATTAAAAATAAAGGGGACACGCGTCGAGTTTCCGTCGATCCCCGGTGTCGGGCAGCCGCCTTTGTTACCGCGCCTCCTCTCCCGTGGCACGGCTACGCGCTCCGCTGCCGTACCGCTGCGTTGCTCCGAAAGTAGCCAGCCGGCTATTTTCCTGATACACCTACTACCTACCCGGCCGCGTGAACCAACGACAATCACGCTCGTCGATCGTTTCCTTGTTATATCGAACGTCCAACGAAACGAGCACCGCGCGCGCACGCTTCTGTTCCGTTTCGTCCCATTCCGTTTCATTCCGTTCCTGCTGTCGCGTACACGCGCGATCCGTTTCAATTCGGACGATTTAGCGCCGGCCTCTCGAGCCTCCTTCGAATTTCGATGCCTGACTGCGTTAAATCGAGCTTCCACTTAGCCAATAAATCTTCGTCGATTTTTAGACAGGGTAAACGCGGTTCATCGGATAAGATTGAGAGCTAGAAATGTAGCCATATTTTCAGACTCGTTCGCCGAGTAAAGAACAGGATGATTCGCCGAAACTCAAGGTGACGCGAAACTACGTGTCGTATTAAACGAGGTAAAACGCGGGACGAATAACAGTGTTGGTAGCTCTAATTTCTGAGTGATCGTACATTTGTCTGAATTTTGAAACGTTCGAACGTAATCCCCTTGTTCTCGGACTGTCATCGAACGTGGTAACGATCCATTATTAATTAACGCGCAACGAGCAGCGACGAGCGATGCTTTCAGGTTTATCGCGCACTCTGTAATTACATAAAACTTTCATGCGTTCACCAGAGAGGGATACCGTCTTGTAATAAGCATATTTCCCCCCTTTTTTTTTTTTTTTTTTATCGCCAACCGACGGAAGGCTGTCCTCTCTTGGAATCGAACTCGCACGCACTCTAATTAACTTAGATCGATGATTCTCGCGCTCTGACGAGCAAATTAGAAAAGCCTTCGCGGTCCCCGCAACGGTTACACGCAGCGGGGTTTCAAAGATTCCGCGGGAGGCAGGGAGGGCCTCGATCCGGAGTCGCGATCGAAAGAGAGTAAGACGCGAAGTGGAAAACAGCCGAGGAAGGAACGAGAGAGACCCCGGGAGGAGAAGAAGGCGGGAGAGGGAGATGCGGTTCGGTCTTACCACAGCGATCCAGCGGCTTGATCGATCGGCGCGATCGTCGTCCTTGAAGTGGTCGACGTCTTTCTCGGCGTGTACGCGGAGTGCCGGAGGAACGAACGAAAGGAAGAAACGGCGGGGAAAGAAAGAAGGAACGAAGGAACGAGAATCGGAGCCGGCCGATGCAACGCGGCCAGAGACGGAAAGCCCCTCTGGCTCGATACCGGCAACCCACGACGACTCGAGTTAGAAGTTTCTTTGTCGCGTTAGCATGGCGGCATTCGGCAGTGTGCACATGCCGCGGTCTAAGCAAGATGGCCGTCTCTCCTGTCCAAAGGAAGGGGGCCGAGAGGGACCGGGGGACACGTACACGCGAATACACGCCGGGGGCAGCACACGGGGAAAGGGGGACGAATTCAGGCTGTTGGAGGCCGCCCGGTTCCAACTCGCATTAGAGAACACTCGAAGATTATTACTCGCGCTGAACCGGTGGCCGCGTGATCCACAGGCATCCGCATAATAAATCTGTCGACTGCTCCAACGCCTCGATTCCAATACCCCTCCCAAAATCGAATTCCGTCGATTTATCGGCAAATCCATTCGCGAACGTCCTTTTTAACTAACGAAATTTCTTAGTCGACGATTTTTGCCTCGTTACAAGTAGTTGCAAACTCGATCGTAATAACGAATTTATCTCGTCCGATTTCCGCTCAAGGAATTCGCCGCGGACGTCCCTGACGGTTTCCCAACGTGCGCGTTACGCAGCTCCGTTGGTTAACGGAGAACAGCGACGCATTAATCGTATCGCGCGGCTAACTGTTATAAATCCAGCGGCACGATACCTGAAACATCCTCGGATTTCGCTCTCAGGGAAAGCCATCGATCTCCGCCGAGATCGAAGGCTGCCTCGTCGCTTTGTTCGAATTACGCTGCTTCCTCGACGCACTTCGGCCTCGAAAATCTGTAACTGAAATTATTAAACGTTTCCGCGATGTTCACCGGGACTCCGGTTTCTCGCTCGTGCTGCTACGCAGAGGATTTTCTTAAGGATGACCGGCGGCGTATAAAGGCAACGGAACGCAGTCGACGATCCCGTGGTAACTCGAGACCGAACGCGTACTTAGATTTTTCTTCTAAACGGTCGCGGGTGCGGTAAAATTTCACGGCAAAACAAGTTACGTAAGTTGGTGTCCGCGGACGCGACGTTAAAATGTACGCCGTAGAGGAGCGCGTTCCTAAAATTACCTGTTACGCAACGAGGACTACGCGTTCGATTGGAAACGTCGTCGCCGCGTAATCGATTCGCGTTAACAGCAGCGTCTCGGGAAAATTCATAGCCGCCGGCGAGAATAATGAGCCGAACGATTTACGTTTAACGTCAGGCCTACAACGAATTCGCTGGACCGTTTGAGGAAAAATTCTTACGAGATATCGAACGTCGCGCGGACTTGCTTACGTTCTTCATTTTAATCAGCAACGTTTGCGCAAGATCAGTTCGGTTCAAAGCTCGGTCGCATCCTTGTTTTAAATCGTTCGTCGATTCGTTGAGACTAGGTCGAGCCAAGTCACGGTGTCACGAAGCGCCTCGAGAAATTGGATGCGGACGGAGGCCCGTGAAGGGCATTTCGTAACGCGATTGCCGCGAAGATTGGTACAGGTAGGACACGGGTACAGAAGATCGGATGGAAAATCTCAGCCGTTCCAAAGGTCGTTTTCCGCGGCTTATCTTCGGCCGATGGACGACCACTTTCGCGATACCATTGGAAAAAAAAAGAAGAAAAAGGACAAGGGTGGCGTAACTAGCTCCGCGATAGCTAATGATAGTTTATTCGCCTATTTGTTTATTTGCATGCACATAGGTTTATATATAAATAGCCTTTGCTGTTTGACGTCGTGTTATGATAAACAAAGCTATTTATCGATAATGATTATTCATCTACTTGTTCATGGGCGTACGCAAATAGCCTTCAACGACCAACTTCAAATTACATATTACGCGGAACCGTATCTTCTGGCGAGTTATAAATCGTGTTGGGTTTAATTTGAAAAAACCGGCGGAAAATGGTCGTTGATCCGAGCAAGGAGCGCGAGCTCTGTGGCGTGCGCGCGGGCTACACGTCAGGAATGGTTTGTGCCACTGACTGGCCAGTTCGTTTCTAGGACAGCTAGTTTTTCACGCGATTTTCGCGCGATATACACGTCGCGGCTGAACCTAAGTACGCGTACCGAGGAGGCCTGGCCTAACCTTCTTTCTTGCCCGCGATGAAATTGCGATCGGCGCTCGCGATAACGAGTCGCGGCTAACCCAGCCCGGGCGAGCTTGGCCGGTTCGAGCCGAGGCCTGTGCGCGCGTACGCGCATTACGGCCACGACGAACGCGACGATTTTTCTCGTATCTAGCCACCTCCCCTTCGAATCCTAACGTTTACGTAATTCAAGGTTTTTCGATCGGATGACGAACCGAGAAAAAATCCACGCCAATACATCCGCCTCGATCTCTTTCTTCCAAAACATCTCGCGGCGATCCACGTAGATACAATTTCCTAAAATTTAATATCCTTCGATCGTTTCACAGGTATTCAGATGAAGCTCATAAAAATTCACCCTTCGTGATATAATAAATAGAGAATGTTTGTATCTGCTGCATTGAGTCATTGGTTTCACACGTTTTCCCAGCAGACCGATGATGTATGCGCGGTGATAGCGACCAGATAAATCGCACGTAACGATGCAAATGGGTTAACTTCTATTTACCTTGAGCAAACAGTACCATGGAAAATGGCTTTGTCGTTGAAATTTCCATAAGATCTTTCTCAGACGTAGAGATAAGGGTTGATCAACGGGTCCGAAAGAGGAGAGGAGAGGGAGGGCGAACCGGCGATGCGTTTCGGTGCGTACCGGTCCGCTTGTTCAGATCGCGTTCGATCGGCAGGTACATGGAAGCTCGCGTACGTGCGAGAGGGAGGGAGCGCTCTCGCTCGTCGATACTCGCTCGCGGTTCACCGGTGTAGGTGAATGCGTGTGGACGGGCACCAGGAGCACGGGTATGTGGCACAAGGCCGACATTAGCATCTCTACCGGTATACCCCCTACCATTTCGCGTCGTCGTCGTCGTCGTCGTCACGGCACAACTCTATCCGCAGAAACCTGTATTCCGGTTATCTCGCTATTGCGGGAATCGGAGAGACCGGCGTCGCCATCGCATCGTGAGAAGGCAAAGGACCTCCCTCCGAGCTCCTCGTCTATCCACCGCCGAACCGTCGCGCCGCGGAAAACCGCCTCGCAATGGATATGATCCTACCGCTCGGGGATTTTTCGACGGACCCTTTACCGCGATAACGGGGCTATCTTCTTCCCGAGGCTATCCGCGACACCGCGCCGCACGAGAATGTATTCTTTGTTCCCGTTGCACTTTTCGCTGATTCGTTCGCGGTTCCCTGTTATTATCGTTGAAACCGTAAAAGTCGAGATTTTCGTCGGAACGTTCGCTCTAAAACTCTTTCCTTTCGAATCTCCAAAGTGGAGAAACAAATACACGGGTAAAAGAACTATAAAGAGAGAACCCTCTGAGAGAGAGAGAGAGAGAGAGAGAGAGAGTGAGTGCGATGTTTTTTTTAGTTAGTTTTATCAAGAGTCACATCAGAAATGGCGAACAAAGATGATACGCGATTATTAGTATAAGTAATTGTATAGCAATGGTCAAAGGCCGATGCGGACAGTGGACGCTGGCGCGTCTGACCGGGAACGGGATATTCTACTGTCCAGCGTTCTGCCCGTTCCTGCGCGCAGATATTGTTAAGATTCTGGTCGCGGATCGTCCGGTTGGTTTTCTTGCCCGCGTCGATTTCTCGACGCATCGGGAGGTCGATCGGCACCTTTGTGAAGAGGCTGCTGCTCAGACATCCGGTCGCTACCGTCTCCGCGTCGGATGAAACCCGCGCGCTAGAATCTCGCCGATTCGCGTCGATCGGCTAATCCGGCGAGCAGCTCGTGCGAGTTTTCAGCGCGCGCGCATACCGGTCATCCAGGTTAAGGTGTCACTCGATGCCCCATTACTTATCGGTCTCGGATGCCGGCTATCTGGATTCCTTCTATTCGAGAGTCGAACCTCGATTCGATCGCGTACCGATCGACCTGGAAATCCGCGAGCGAAATTTCTTCGAAAGTTACTCGGTAGTCTCTCCTCTCGAAAACTGGTCGCGACGTTCGTTCCGACTCGGTGCTCGATGAAATAGTCACAGCGAGCAAGAAATCAATCGTATCCTCTTTGCGTTGTTTTTACTGCAATTAAATTAGTCGCGTGGCTCGTTGTGTTTGGTCGCGCGACTTGTAATTCGAATCCGTTTCCCACGGCGGCGGAGAAAAATTGTATCACGCGAACACGGACGGGCAAAGGGCTAGGTCAGTGCGAAGGAACCGCGGCCATGCGTAACTGCGAAACGAGCGTAATATCGGGCTGCGTTATCGTCGGATGCACTTTGGGCTCGCAATTCGGTGCCCCACTCAACGGTACAAAGAGTTCGTTTACCCCGTTTAGACGTGTGAGCGAGGCCAGCTGCTATCGGTCGATTCATGCGCGACATTCGACGGGAACCCGGGTGAGAGTGAGAGAGAAAGGGGAGGCGGAAAGAGAAAGAGGCAGCGGGTGAAAGGGAGAGGGGAGAGCCGAGAGAGCGACGACGAGATAAAGCTGAATTTAAGGCGCGATCGGGGACCCTCTCGAGAACAAACAGAACTGCGACGTCTAGACGATCGTCGCAGATATACGGGGTGTTAATAAATATCGGTGTGCATTTTTCTCCGATCGATTCGAAGCGTCAAAACAATGAGCGAGGTGTTCGAGTGTACGCGCGAGCTGATAAACGGTAACAGGTATAAGCTACCGGCCGCTACTTCGCTCGCAGACGCTACTTCGTGCCGCGTCATTCGTTCAATACGAGATTTTATTATTCGACCGATAAAAGAAATATCTACGATGATTCCAGGGTACATGAAAAGTGACATAAAAGAATTTCGATTGACAAATAGGACGAATTAGGGCATTCGGACGATTTTCGAATTATATCGCTGTTGCAACAAATCGAGATACGCACGAAGGTATGTGTGTATCACGATAGAGGAAGCTCGTGGTTACATATACATATACAGAGGGAAACGTTATCTGGATTTTGCGATCGGCGGTGACGCGTTGTATTGCCCGGATTGTCTTCCACTGCAATGAATTTCGCAAGTGGAAGAACAACTATTTTTGACATTTATGTCTCTGAAGTTGAAATTCAAACGCGCGTATTCACTCGTTAGTATACTTATCCATAGAGAATATATTTGATTATTTATCTGCCGGGACGAACGTTCTTGACGGCGTCCGATACTGATTCGGCGAGATTTTCCCGTTACATCAGTTATTACCGACGATATTGTTTCGGGATCGAGCGAAGTGAACGCGAAAGCGGTTCTCCGGCCGATGAAGTAACGGAGAGGAAGAACGCGTGGGAGGTTTATTCGCGAGCAAACCAGTTCTCTCGTTGTAACGCCCGAGCGAGAACAAGAAATAATGGAAAACAGGCCGAAGTCCCACTTAGCGCGTTCGGAAACAGCTGATCGTTCCTGGGACCCATCGACCGGGAACGCCGAATATAGTCGCGTATGGTGAAAATTTTCTCGTCGTGTAGGCGACGCGACGCGATTCCACGGTCGTATGCGCGCCGAATGTAACGAGATCCGTCGCAAATAAAAGTACGAGTCGTCGTCGTTGTCTGTGCTACCGCAATTCGTTCCGAGGCGAGTCACGCGAGCGTAGGTCGCGGTCGAGAGAGGATAAGGATCGATGGATCGATCCGAGATCGACGAGGGTCACAGCCCCTACGCGTTTCAATTGCAGCAAAAAAGAAACGAAGAATGTTCGG